TACCCACATGTGACACAGTCACGCATACCACCACGAGTGAGGATCCTAAGTCCGAAATCACAGACGTACCCACATGTAAAGCACTCACAGACACACCCACATGTGACACAGTCACGGACATACCCACATGTAAAGCAGTCACAGACACACCCACATGTGATGATCCTAAGCCCGAAATCACACAACCACCAGGCTCCGGTAACGCAGTCACAGACACACACACATGTGATGATCCTAAGCCCGACATCACACAACACACAGTCACAAACGACACAGTCACAGACACACCCACATGTGACACCGTCACGCACACCACCACATGTGAGGATCCTAAGCCCGAAATCACAGACATAGGCACACGTGACGCAGTCACGCACATACCCACATGCGCTGATCCTAAGCCCGGAATCACAGATATACCCACACGTGCAATAGTCACGGACATATCCAAATGTGCGGCTCCTACACCCACAACAACAGCGCACGCAGTTACAGGCGCCACAGTCACAGACAGACCCACATGTGAGACCGTCACGGACACACCCAAACACGATAAGGTCACAGACATACCCACATGTTACACAGTCACGCACATACCCACACGTGAAGATCCTAAGCCCGAAATCACAGACAGCCCCACATGCGACACAGTCACAGACACACCCACATGTGATGATCCTAAGCCCGACATCACACACCAGTTAGTCACAGACAACACAGTCACAGACACACCCCCACATGAACCTCCAAAGCCCGCAATCATACATCCACACACCAACGCCCCAGTCACAGACACATCCACATGTGATCATCCTAAGCCCGACATCACACAACACACAGTCACAAACGACACAGTCACAGACACACCCACATGTGATCATCCTCAGCCCGACATCACAGACAGCCCCACATGCGACACAGTCACGCATACCACCACGAGTGAGGATCCTAAGTCCGAAATCACAGACGTACCCACATGTAAAGCACTCACAGACACACCCACATGTGCCACAGTCACGGACATACCCACACGTGAAGCACTCACCGACACCGCCACATGTGATCATCCTCAGCCCGACATCACAGACATACCCACACGTGACGCAGTCACAGACACACCCACATGTGATGATCCTAAGCCCGAAATCACACAACACACAGTCACAAACGACACAGTCACGGACACACCCACATCCCACACTACCACGTGGCTGCGTTGGATTGACAAACACAAACATATCCTACAAACCGCCGTCACTCACCCATGGTTTACTATGCTACAGCAACACTGGAAGCAATATCAGCAGCAACATGTGACACATCCAACTAACATACAACAGCAGTTACAGGCGTGGAGAGCGTGGGTTTCCCAGCAACATACACACCTGGACACACTGAGCAAAGAAGCGTGGTTCACAGAACTGCTAGAGCACCTGCCGCCACCATCCCACCACACCCCGTCCAACAATACATCCGACGCCCTACAATCTGCAACATGTGCGGATTCCATGATACACACACCAACGTGTACCACAGCAGACACACTCCAAACAGACATTCAAACATCCACACACACACAACCCGCACCAGATCTTGCATCACGCACGCGCACTGCCGTGCGCGTCGCACCGCACGCACACCCCACCATGTCACATGTGCCGTTATCTACGCACAAACAGTTGACTTCAGCATTACACATGCTCATTCTTGCCACAGTTATTGAACAGTGCCACCATGAGTCACAGTTGCAACACCAAGAGCAGTATTTAGATAATTTACTTGATCACATGTGAACATCACACATACATGCAGTGTTTGTTTCTGTTGGTTATATATTGTGTTTGTTACATTCTTCGCACATTCTTGTCTGTGCTGTGTCTCTGCTTTCTACATTTGCAAGTCTGTTGCGGTTTTGTCTGAGGCGCTGCTGTTTTTTGACACCGTGATGCGTGTGTATGCTCCAACCACCCGCTCACCGCATTCACATTGCGCGTTTTTCTCAACTGACAACCTTGAACTAACCAGGTCATAGCGTTGGGCTCTAACCCCTCAACCACTGTTCACTCCTTACGCAATCACATGCGCATCCTAAAACCGACATCGCTCGTACCACACAGCCACACTGTGCGCTACTAAACCCGGAATGCACCAGGCCACAACATGACAAACGATCACAGAGCACAAGCCTACACCAGCACCACCCACCACAGAACACAATACCAAACGGTCACAGACATACCTGCATCCTACACCGCGATACACCATCCCACACTCCCACATGCCAACAACCTGCGATCCTAAACTCGACATATGCGGTCCTACGTGCCCACATACCTAACCCCTAAACACGGAATCTACCCTCCCCCACACGCACACACCTGGAGGTCCTAAAACCCACACATTAGTTCCGTCACCACAACACACATATATCCTAAACCCAGAATCCACCATTTCTCACACCCACTCACATCGATGCATGCTAATCGTACACCAATTTTACTTCATTATGTGATATACATAATATATTTCTGGTTTACATTATTCCATACCTTCTTTTTTGTTTTCTGCTCTGTTCTGCTTACTTGTGCTTACTTTTGCCTTGTTTTGTTCTTGTTACGTAGTCAACTTCTATTAATATAACTATGGGCACTGGGTTGTAGAGGTCCAATATATATAGCATATGTGGGTTGATATGAATAATATGAAGGGGCAGTATTCTCCTTTATGTGAAGTTAATTATTAAAAGATGAGCACCTGCATTCTAAGGGTATAGTGCAGCACAAATATAGAATGCGCATACGCATTCCAGTATAAGGAGAGCTGGTCTCTGCGAGCAAACGCGGCTGACTATCAGACGGATTCGACGGAGTAGCCGAGTGTAAGAAAGCCGGAGAGATTGTCTCTCCGAGCACACGCAGCTGCGACCATACGCAAAATCACCAATAGACCAAGAAACAAACAGTAAAGACAAGCCGATGGCGAATGGTGTAAGTTGAATTATAACACACGAAAAGTACGGGGAAACAGCAGCACGAGTGACGGGATAGATCAATTTTTTTATTAACGCGGCGTGAGAATAGTTTAGCCACGGAGGAAGTGCCGGTATAGGGTACATTGCAATATGGCATAATCCCCTTCTCTTTATGTTTTTTTTTTGGTTCCTCTTTTTCTTTCTTCTTCTATTGGTCATGCAGCACAAATTATGGGAAAGTCCTGACGGTACAAAGTTTATTTCAAAGCTAAGGGCCCGATGGATCCAGAGGTATGCACGGGCAGGCGCCACGACGGACACACAAATTAATGTAAGTGTAGAAGTATGGAGGGGTAATATACGGGCAACACGGGTGCACGGTTGTGTGCGATACTGTGTATATAGAACAAAGCATATGTGGTATAATGCTCCATGAACGAGCAAGCAGGGAGACGGTATAAGCTATATATATACAAATGTATGTTCATCCTCTGCATTGTGCACAACACAGCAAGAGATGTGGGATACAATGGAAGAATTGCAAAAACAGATTGCGAAGAATATGAAAGGGGACAAGCATGAGGAGGACGGCATGGCAGAAATGATGTGTGCTGGGGTGCCGAGCACTAATGGCGCAAGCTTGGACGACCACGACAAACAAATGTGCGGACTACTACTGCGATTAATGTTCTACATAGAAGGGTTACACAGTCAGGGCAACTTGATACAAAAGCATGAGAATGACGAGAGTACGCCACAATTAGAAGATGGAATGAGGTGCATAATAGGGGGCGTATATATACAGAACATAATGAAGCTAGCATGCTTGGGCGCGAATATTCGCGCTCATGCTCTGCAAGCCGTCGAGGGACATATGCAGGGAATGAAAGGCACAAGCAGAAGTAGCAAGTGTGTCACTTGGCAATTTGGGCGTACTTGCGTAGGGGGTTTTCACCTTGAATCGAAAATTACGCAATGGATGTTGGACGATAGTATTGTTATGGACAGAGTGAAGGGTGCAGGACTCCGTCCGTCGTGTTCAGAGACCGAGTGGAAGAACAGGAGAACGCAAATGGAACAGGCTGCTGCGACAGGCATAGACGGTACTGCATGTGGAGCACGTCCCGGCAAAGCACAGTTAAATGGTAAGTGCATATTGAGTAGAATGAATAATCATCAGGACGCACGCCGCACGGCAGCATATTCATGAAAATTCGGGCGCAAGGAACAAGTGGAATGGAACCGTCGTCCCAGGGGCAATATCCGATGGATGGAGCGGCGCCGGCCAGCGACCGAGCTGCAGGAGGGAGCACGGAGAGGGACGGCCAGTATGTAGCGACGGGAGCGGAGTCACTGTGGTGCGGCCACGAGTGTAGACGAGGTGTGCGCGGCGGAACCGAATGGAGCGGTGTCGAAGACCGCAGACGGACGAGATGACGGCGACAACATAAAAGTGTACTGCTAGCATCCCGATCGTGCATCGACCCGAGCGCATCCGAACAGGCCGCCCCGCCGACCACCACCTCTGTCTACCAGTTCTCCTCTATCATCTTTTCATCCTTCTTCCTGTTCTTCCTTCCAGCGACATCAGGGCACGGGGCACCAGGAAGCCCAAGACCAGCCGCCGCGGCCAAACCAGACACGAAGGCCCAACCAGCAGCGGCCACACCGGCATCACCACCGTCATCGGGGACGTCATCATCGGGGACGCCGATGGCACCTGCTGGTGGTGGTAAGGCCGGTGCTCCTGCCGGAGGACGGCAGGGGCAGGGGAAGGCTGGAAAAGGAGATAATTGTCCATTGAAGACCATATTGCAAGAGGACAGGAGGCACGTATACGTGCTGCGTAATTATAATGTAGGTTAAAGTAAAGCGAGACGGGACCAGAAAAACACACAGAGAAAATAAGGTGCATAAACACAATGTACTTATAGCATATACATCAATTTGGGAGTATACATGTATGCGCACGCATAGAATATACGTGAAATATGAACACGCGCATTCATGTGTTCTCTATGTACACAATGCAGAAGGAACAACTGGAAACCATGAAGACGGTGTTGCAGCAGTTTATTGATTACATGGAAGAGAAGAAGCATATGATGGATGCCATAGGTGCAAATTGTCACAATTCTGGTTGGAATGATATAACAGACGACGGCACCTTGTTCACGCAACAAACAGTAGCAGACGTCATACGGTGCAAACTCATGACAGCAGCATTGTGGTTTGCGAACGGTGATAACACACAACAGAAGAAGGCGAACGGGCCAAGTACAGATATGAATGAAATGGAAAAGCAGCTGCGATGCGAGCTAGCCAATGCATTTGGGTATATACTGCACCACAAGTATTGTGAACCTAGACCAGGATTTAAGAGGGGAATAGAGTACGCCTGGAAAACAATGATAGAAATGGGTTCAAGTAAATATGCACCGGAGCAACCAATGACAGGTCCAGTCTTTGAGCGAAGGTGCACAGAATGTGGGTATAATGTTACAAACGCTACATTTAGAGCAGTAAATGGGGACATTGCAGAACTGTTAATAACACAGGGGAAAATAATGGACACAATAGGGCACATAGAGAAGACAGTGGACTGTAGTATGAAGTGGGACGTTTATGTAAAACAAAAGAAGAAGGACCTTGGCACTGAAGACCTGGACACAAAAACCATCCCTGAAATAACACAGGAGGCACAGAACATAGTGGAGGAAGCCACAAGGGTAATTGAGTTAGCAAAGGAAGAAGTAGAAAAGGAAATTGAAAAACAGAAAGGTAATAATACGGGTAGCACAGAATACGCCTAGTACGCATACAAATAGTACCCCCGGCATGAATACGACCCATACGGCTAGAACAAGTTCGTACGGATGGACGCCCACAACACGCACACGGCAACAACACACGCACGCAGGGCAACAATATCGCAGACGCGGGAACAGCACAGCAAACGACTTCACTGACGTGGAGCGGCGGCCGCGATGAGTGTGCGGCGGCACGGCGTCACAGTGGTGCGACGGCACAGAGGGCGACCGATGTAGCGGGACCAGATGACGGCGACAACAAATAAAAGTGTACTGCTAGCATCTAACCCAAGTTCACCGAGTATACCCCGTCCACCTCAAAGTACGATTGCGGACGCCTGACCGCACCGTCCCGCCCCTTCTTTCTGTCTACCACTTGTGTCGCTTTTTTTTATCATCTACCCGTTTTTCTTCCTTGCATCATTTGCCGCAGGCAAGAACCCACAACCTCCTCCACAAGACGGTGGAACATCAGCGGAAACACCAAAGGAACCACCGGCCGCAGCAGCAACATCAGGAGTAGGCCAAGGACCGGGTCCAGGATCAGGCTCGACGGCACAACAACCCCCACCACCAGCACAGCCGCCTCAGGAGAAGACTTCTGCGGACGACCACAAGGGGAAGAAAGCAGACAAAGCAGGTAAGTGCACAGAGAGTTCCACCAGTACGAATACGAACGGATCCGGCGTTAGCATAAGCCTCGGGTGCACTGCAGATTCCGCGTTGGGCGTTCCCGACAGTACACTCCACAGTCCATCGGATGCTGCACCAGGTAACAATTCCTATGCACCATAGTGAAAATACACACCCGAAATAACATTAGAAGCACAAAACAAACAACACCCAACACAAAGAAACAACTTTTCCGGACACAGGGAGCGACACCACGGAGAGAGAGAAACCAAACGTCGAATGAGAATGAGCGGGACGCAGAGCGATGGCGCGAGAGACACAGCCGCCGCGGCCGATACAGCGACGTCGACAGGTAGACGTCGACAGACCGACAGGTCGCCACACACACAGTGTGTGTATGGGTGTTGTGTTGTGTGTGTGTTGTGCGTGCGAGAGAGAGAGTCTTTTCCCGGGGTGGCACCCTACCCCCGTGCCATGCCCCGACGCCATTCCCCGTGCCCCCGTCCGTGTCCTGCCTCCACGCCTGCCTTCGCACCGTGGCACCAATGGTGTCGACCGAGCATGGCACCAACCGTGTGGTCCACCAACACGCATGCACCGCACAAAACTTCAGTTTCATCACATCCTTCTTCCTTCCCTTTCCCTGTCTCCCTATTCACCACATGTTCAGGCGATGCCGTCGTCACTGGCGGCAACGATGACCCCCCTCCTCTCAATCCACCCAAACCTAAACCGAACCCGAACCCAAATCAATCGGGTAGTAGTGGCAGTTTCAGTGACGCCGACTTGGCGGATGGAGTTTCTGGTGGGGAAGGAACAGAAGGTGGGGGTGGTCAAAAGGATGCTGGAAGGGCCGGTAGCGGAAGTCCAGGAGGAGGAGGTCGTAGTGGTGGTGGTGGTACAAGTGGTGCAGGACAAGGCGGTAGTGGTACTGATGGTGCAGGGGCCGCGTCTACCCCTGCCACCCCTTCCCTTTTCCCGGAATTAAAATGGGAGGATGTCAAGCCGTACACCCCCGCGATCATTCCCGCAGTGGTTGGTATTGGGGTCATTGCGTTCTTCCTCTGGAAGGTAAGTATATACGACAATGACGGCATGCCGGACGTGCCGGATGTTTATGCCTCAGAACATCCCAACCGGCTCCAATATATGATCGCTCGAACCAATATGCCCCTACACCCTCGTTCATTCCTTTTATCCTACCGTCCTCACCCTCCCGTTTACCCCCCTTTTTGTGCTTAGTACTTTGCGCACCTCGGCCACAAACGACGACGAACGTATCGAACCGTTCGTGACGTGCCGTCACCGCCACTCGACGAAGACATATTGCAACATCTACAACGCGGCGAACTGCCGCCACCCGATTACGGGTACAACATGATTAGGGATAGGCAACCTGCGTCAACATCCGCCCGCCGACGGCGCCCACCACGAGTGCATAAGCGCACGATCATCGAGCTACATCTAGAGGTGCTCAACGAATGTGAAGCGACCGAATGGGAAAATGTCAAAGAGGACTATTTGCAAATACTCGTTGAAGCGTTTGCTCGCGCCTTGGAGCGTGATGCAAACGGGCATAGTAGTTTCCCGAATGCTCCTAGCACAAACCAGGGTCTGCCAGGGACCAATGTTACATTCACCATGGATCCACCCACTGACGCCGACGGAACGGATGCATGTCCACCACACGACCCCGATCCATGGAGTTGTATGGAAAACATACAGTTAGCAACGCATCCTTGTGCACCCAATGAAGACGACCCAGATCCATGCAGTGCTATGGAAACTATACCGTTAGCAACGTGCCCTTCTGCATCTAACGAAGAGGACCGATGGAATTGTATGGAAACTATACCGTTAGCAACGGAACCTTGTGCACCTAATGCTGATGACCCCGATCCATGGAGTTGTATGGAAACCATACAGTTAGAAGAAGAGGGGACTCCTGCTCCCTTTCCATCCTCTTCCGACCCCGGTGACGCGACGTCCGCCTGCACCCACTGGATTAACTGGATTGATCGCCACAAACATATGTTGCGCGCGTGCACGCGGCAAACGTGGTTTAATGCCCTCAAATTGGACTGGAAACAATTCCTGCGTGAGCACATGGTGCCAAACGGAGCATCCGGTGAGCACAGGAAAGCCGCATCTATGGAGAGCAAGAAGCACGCATGGAAAGAATGGGTTGGAAAGCAACATGCGCTTATGCATATATATAGTGCGCAGGAGTGGTTTAAGCATTTATTAGAAACTATAGAGCACGAGACAGAATCGCAAAAAGGCGAAGTACCTGGAGTTGAAACAGACTTAGAACTGGAAAAAGTACCGGCCGCAGAAGATATGCTACGAGTGAGAGATGTACCGCGGTCGCAACCACTCCATGAGCACTACTACCAGCAGAAACACTTAATTTCCAAATTGTGGATACTCATCCTGGCATTAGTCATACAACAGTGCGAGCTCGAATGTCGTTTGCAGGAGAAGGAGTTATATGTGGATGATCTATTGCACAAGCTCTGCAACTAGCATGAAGTCAGGGGTATGCAGGATACGGAGTTATATGTGGATGATCTATTGCACAATATGCGACATTAGTATGACGGGGCATATGAATGCGACATAACGCATGCTGACCGTACACCACGTTTACTTCATTATGTGATATACATAATATATTTCGTGTTTGCACTATTGCATGCCTACCATTTTTTTCTGCTCTGTTCTGCTTATTTCTGTTTCTTTATGCTTACTTTTGCCTTGTTTTGTTCTTTTTCTGTGTAGTCCACTTCTTTTAACATGACCTAGGAAAACGTGCGTACCGGTTAAATGCATATAAAATGTAGCTTTACATGAATAATATGACGGGGTAGTATTCTCCTTTATGTGAAGTTAATTATTAACACATGCGCACGTGCATTCTAATGGTGTAGAGTAGAACACATATAGCACGCGACTACGCATTCGCGTATAAGGACAGCTTGTGTCTCCGCGCACACGCGGCCGAGTAAGCGGGATTGTCGACGACGTAGGAGCGATTGTCTCTCCGAGCAAACGCGTCGACCAACGCGGCCGAGTAAAGGCTTGTTCGAGTACGCGGTGCGACGAAGTAGCCGCGTGAGAAGGACGAGAGATTGTCTCTCCGAGCAAACGCGTCGACCAACGCGGTCGGGTACACGGATTGTCCGCGTAAGGGGATTCGACGAAGGCTTGTCCGAGTGTAAGAAGGAGGAGAGATTGTCTCTCCGAGCAAACGCAGCGGGGTACACGGGATTGTCGACGCGGCAGCCGGGTGTACGAAGGAGGAGGATTGTGTCGCCGAGCAATGTGACCGAGCAAACGCAGGCCGGGTAAAGGATTGTTTGAGTGCAGCGATTCGACGAAGTAGCCGAGTAAGCATTGTGCCGAGTGTAAGAAGGTACACATTGTCTCGCCGAGCAAACGCGGCCGGGTAAAGGATTGTGCGAGTAAGACGGATTCGACGAAGTAGCCGAGTGTAAGAAGGAGGAGAGATTGTCTCCGCGTGAACGGATTCGGCGACGGATTGTCCGAGTGTAACAACGGAGGCAGAGATTGTCTCTCCGAGCAAGCGCGTCGACCAAAGCGGCCGCGTAAACTGCATTGTCGTCGCGTGTAAGAAGAAGGGGATTGTCTCTCCGACCACACGCGGCCGATTGTAACAACGATTCGACGAAGTAGCCGAGTGAAGCCGTTCGATTACGGCGTTCGAGTAAACGATTCGACGAAGTAGCCGCGGGAGGGACGGCCACCACGACGGCGGCAACGACGGCACAAGACATTCATGTTGTTGTTCGTTTTTAGGTGTACGCACACAGAGACAGTGTGTGCAGCCGTTTAGTGGAGAACGGTGTAGAAGTGGGATATTCATGACGCGTTGAGCGTGTAGGTTGTGTAGTAGTACTTTTTTTTTTGTCCTGTCCTTTTTTTTTGGTTCTTTTTTTTTTTTCTTGTTTCCCTTGTTTGATTTCTTTTTTTCCTTCTTCCAAACCCCGCGATTTGTAGGATTTGTGATTAAATTCAGATAGGGGATAGTTTGTTCATGTGAGATGTTTCCGCAGGGACCCTATAATGCAAGACATGTTCCATTCTCTAAGTATCTGAATAATAACTAAGAGAACATTGTGCCCATATTATACTCAAGCCGTTATCTGAGAGATAATGATATCATTCGTTCCATTATATTGGTTTCTGGTTGAGACAATATGTCGTATGCGACGTTGGGACATTTATTAGCACAATATGTGAAGACACGAGGTCTAGTTGATAACAAGGAGAAGTATAAGGTAATTTGTTAAGACCAACACCGCGGGGCGTTGTGTACTTATAACAGCCTCTATATATGATAGTATGCACACTTGCCTGTAAATATAATTGTACGCATGCGCCCGTGCACTCATTCCACATTATTAACACAATGGGAACGTAAAGTACGTGCAGTACGCACCAAGGCCTGGGTACATATGAATATGGCACACAGCGCAGCACTGGCCCCTTATGCACACACATATATGTTCCTTGTGCACAATGCAGCAAAGCTTATGGAAGGATATAGAGGCACAACTGCAGAAGTTTATGAAACATTTGAAAGCGGAAGACATGGACGATATGTATTCTGCGAATTGCAACCACACTCCATGGCAGCGCCTGGATTACCCGACTGAGACCACCGCCGCAGTTCCAAGCATGCGTGACAAAGTTATATGCACACTTATGACAAGGGCATTGTATTTTGCAAATGGTTGGAGCACAGCACCAGACATGCATACGCCAGATCATAGTGGCGGGAAGACAGAATTGAAGGATTTTATAAGATGCGGAATTGTACTTATGTTTATGCACATCTTGGAAGAATCCGTGTGTAACAGTAAGTCGGGCATTTCGTATGCGTGGCACTTAATGGACAAAATGGGGCCGGAATGGATGGGGGCGAAGAACCTAATACATAGGAAGCAGTGCACGCATAATTTAGAAGTACACCTACAAGTGGGTGAGTGGAGCATGCAACATGCAGTGAAGAAGTGGTTGCAACGCAATGCAGACATACAGAACACACTGAAAGGAAACAGCTTAGGCCAGAATTGTGGTATTGCAGTGCCAACAACTAAAGGAAGCAAGCAAGATGCAAAGGCACAAGACGAGGCGGACACTTTGCAGAAAATAAAGAACGTTGGCGGGAATTTACAGAAAGCACTGAGGACGGTATTCAAGACAATTAAAAAAGAAGTGAAGGAAGCACGGATATCGGAAGAAGGCAGCAGTGAGGCCGAGTCCCCTGAACCAGAGTCGGACGATGATGACGATGAGCAGGAGGACGCGAATGGTAAGAAGAGTAAAGCAACAGAGTGATACTAATACGGGCAATAAGAACACGCACAATACGCACACGGCCGCATATTAACACGGACGGCACGGACATGAGCGCCACCAATACGACTGCGCATACGGATGAAGCCACAACACAACAACAACGGACACGCGGCGAGAACAGCACAGCACCATCTCGTTGAGCCCAGCGAGCAGCGGTTCTCTTCGCTGCCCCACTTCGCTCAACGTACAATTGCCGAGTGCAGCGGCCACGACGACGGCTGCGGCCACGAGGCACCGGACGAGGGACTAGATGACGGCGACAACAACATAAAAGTTGTACTGCTACCATCTAGCCCAAGTTCACCGAGTGCGCCCCCCTTTCTTCCTGTCTTTGTCCTCGTCTAACACCGTGCGCGCTCTCTAACACCGTCCCGCCCCTACCGTGCCGCTACCTGACCGCACCACACCACACCGTCCCGGCCCGTTCTTTCTGTGCCACTTGTGTCCCTTTTTTTTTTTATCATCTTCCTATCATCTTTCTACAACGTTTCTTCCTTCTTTACTTGCAGCAACGGAGACGGCAAAGAACAAGGAGGGCGCATCGTCACCATCAGCAGCAGTAGGAAGGGTCCAGGAACTAGTGGTCAAGGTAACAGGGCCCACAAAGAACCCCCAACTCTTCTTACCATCCCTCTTCCCTCGAAACCATTCCACCCCCAGGATCTCATCCCGTACACCCCCGCGATCATTCCCGCGGTGGTTGGTATTGCGATCATTGCGTTCTTCCTATGGAAGGTAAGTATATATGGCAATGCGGGCATGCCGCATGTGCCGGATGTTCATACCGCAGAACATCCCTACGCGCACCAATATATGATCGTTCTAAACAATATGCCCATACACCCGCGTTCATTCCTTTTATCCTACCGTCCTCACCCTCCTCTTTACCCCCTTTTTGTGCTTAGTACTTTGCCTACGTCGCCAAACGACGACGAACATATCGAACCTTTCGTGACGTGCCGTCACCTCCACTCGACGAAGACATACTACACCATCTACAACGCGGCGAACTGCCGCCACCCGATTACGGGTACACCATGGTTAGGGCTAGGCAGCCCGGCACCTTGCCCGCCGGACGACGACGTCATCCACGCGTGCATAAGCGCACGATTATCGAGCTACATTTAGAAGTGCTCCACGAATGTGAAGCAACCGAGTGGGAAAACGTCAAAGACGACTATTGGCACATACTTGTGGAGGAGTTTGCGCAGCATTGGATGCGGGACGAGGCCACGTATAACAATATCTTGGGTGTTTCTACGTCAGACCAGGGTCCTCCAGGGACCCATGTTTCCTCCACCCTGAATCCACCCACCGATTCCGACGGAACGGATCCATCTCCAGATGACCCCGATCCGTGGCGTTGTATGGAAACCATGCAGTTAGCAACGGACCCTTGTGCACCTAACAAAGACGACCCCGATCCAGCCACACACACACCCACCTGTGCGGATCCTGAGCCCGACATCACACAACCACCAGGCTCCGGTAACGCAGTCACAGACACATACACATGTGATCATCCTCAGCCCGA